GGAGATCAAATTCACGTGACTAATTTACCAACTTGCTACTATTTGATAGCATTTTCCTCCTTTACCTTATACTTGAAATCAATGCAACTTCCAAAAAGGAATCCAGAAATTAATCTCCAGTTTCACAATCAACCCTTTACAGAGCCTGCCTTATCCTCCACCTAATTGCCAAGCCTATTTATCTATCATAATGATGACGATGATGATGATAAAATATAATAATTAAAAAATAATAATACAATAGTTATTTAGACTCCACTGTGTGCTGGCCCTGTGCTAAGCATTTTGCACACATTTCTTTTTTCATTTAATGCTAACTGTGCCATTTGTGAAGTTAATGTCTCTGAGCCCCAGATCCAGCCCTCTATACCCTGCTTTGTGATGCTGAAATGGGGACTCTACATACCACATTTCTGCTTTGCCAGATGGTTCATGTTTGGCTCTGCCAACAGGGGCAATAGAGGGAGGCTCAGGGCTGGGGAGGGAGAAGGGACCTGCTGCTTCATGTCTGCTTCCTGTTTCCGTTTCTCTGCAGGAGCGCCTCTTCGCCCTGGCCTTGGAGCTCATTCCAGTAGCATAGTCAAATCCAGTTTGCTATTTTTCAACACTCAGAACCAGCCTCATCATGCCCATTCAGGGACGTGAGTGCCAGCCCAGCAGTGCCCTCTTCCGAGGTCTGAGTCCCAGCCCTGTGTGAAGCCTTCTTACATTTCTAATTTTGAATACTTTCAGATCCTCCCCTTTTTTCTCCCAGCCCCAAGAGTGGTAGGTACCTTCCCCAGTTGCTATCTCAGTGATACCTTAGACCAGTGGTTCTCAACCTCCCTAATGCCGCGACCCTTTAATAAAGTTCCTCATGTTGTGGTGACCCCCAACCATAAAATTATTTTTGTTGCTACTTCATAACTGTAATTTTGCTACTGTTATGAACCATAATGTAAATATCTGATATGCAGGATGTATTTTCATTGTTACAAGTTGAACATAATTAAAGCATAGTGGTTAATCACAAAAACAATATGTAATTATATATGTGTTTTCCGATGGTCTTAGGCGACCCCTGTGAAAGGGTCGTTCGACCGCCAGGTTGAGAACCGCTGCCTTAGACGTTTCTACGCTTTCCGTTGCCCTGTCAACTTTGTACCCTGTCAACAATCCTTTATATTTAATTCCTCCTGTTGAAATAGCTGGTATCCTTTCTGTCTCCTGCTGGACACTGACTGGCACAGTGAGGTAAATATTATTCTTTCCTTTTCATACATAAGGTAACTCTTGCTTCATATTAAGAGAGACTAAGTAAGTAGCCCAATGTCATGCTGCTGATAATTGGATTCAAGTCAAGATTCACACCCCCTTTCCCCTCAGAGCCCTAGTCATAACTGGTCCGGTCTCTGCTTCATTTTGACTCTTCACATGTTGCTCACTTTCACGGTCTTCTCTCCTTTGTGACTGAGGTACAGGGTGCAGGCCCAGGGGGTGGGAGGTGGAGATGTTGCCGGTGCAGCCAGGTGGGAGCAGAGAGAGGGCTCAGCCGGTGTTGCTGGTGCCACATCTGCTGTCACGAGTTCAGGACTCCATATCCCAGGAACCACCTTAAAGCCTCCACTGGGAGTTCTCTCTCTTCAGCTTCTCCAGGCAGCTTCAGGCAGAGTGAAATGGAGCATCAAGGTGGGGACAGCTAGCGGCCTGGGGCAGGAGCAAGGGTGGCTGGTGGGAGTGAGCAGGCAGTGGGGTCTGCCTGGAGGCCTCAGTGTTTGGCATATTTGTTTGGGAGGGAAGTAGAGGCTTTAAGTCTTTTTAAAAAATATATATTTTATTGATTTTTTACAGAGAGGAAGGGAGAGGGATAGAGAGTTAGAAACATCGATGAGAGAGAAACATCAATCAGCTGCCTCCTACACACTCCCTACTGGGGATGTGCCCACAACCAAGGTACGTGCCCTTGATTGTGCCCTTGGCCGGGATCGAATCTGGGACTCTTCAGTCCGCAGGCCGACGCTCTAATCACTGAGCCACACCGGTGAGGGCGAGGCTTTAAATCTTGTTCCTCCATTAATAAATCATCCCAGAGTAATGTGGTTCTGCTTAGCACCAGAGCTGGACTGCCCTTCTTTCAACAAAACAAACAGAACAATGCAAACAGTCGTCCTCTCAGCTGCCAGCTTCCAGCCCTGGGAGTCTCCTGCAGGTCTCAAGTGGCTGTGCTCTGGGAGAGTCTAGTGGAGGGGGAGAGGAGTGAGCCTTGGGCCAGCTGCCCCCACTCTGGCTTCTGGGCAGCGTGACCTAAACCCTCCTTGTGGGCTCCTCAGCAGAGCCTGAAGAAGGAAAATGCCAGTCGTAGCACCAGGCCAACCCCAGCCCGCCCTCTGCCTCGTGCCCCTCTTTTACCCCAGCTGACTCTGGGTGAGATGATGACCTGCCATGTGGAAGGTGATTGGCAGTGGTGTGGCAGCCAGGCTGGACCCTCTTGTCACTCGCAATGGCTTTGCTCAGATGTCATGATTAAGAGAGAGAGGCTGGGAAGATAGGTTACCTGCAAATGACCAGGAATTGTGGGAAGGGCCAGACTGTTCATCAGGCTCCTGATGTTGCTGAACAATATTGATTGAGCAAGCCAAAGTTTGCCTATGGTGTGCCCGGCACTGGCGTGAAGGTGCTACCTTAATTCTGATAACTTGCACAGCAGGACACTTGGGTAAACACAACTCTCACTGTTGGCATTGTAGATTCATCTATTTATTACAAGGGTTTTCTGGGAGCTGGAGGTAAAGTGTCTTGAGGAAGGGGTATCTTCCTTTCCAACTTGCATATTGGCACCACGTGGGCACTATTGGTCCACTGGGACCACCGCTTCCTCACACAGGCACCCCTGCTCTTAAGATCTGTTGGCATCTGTAGGCACAAGAGCTGTTTTCTTTCCTTTCAAAGAGGGAATTGGGGCGGGCGGGGGGGGGGGGGGGGGAAGAAGCTGCTTGAGGAGGGAAGATGTGGAGAGAGTGGTGTGACTGGCATGCTCTCCATGCTTCATCTTGCTTGGAGGACTCTGAACCCTGGTCACAGAGCAGATGGCTAAAGCAGATCAAAACTGATCCATAAATCTTGGGGCGGCGAGGTGCGGTCAGTGACAAGACCCTGGGAAAGGGGCGCTTTTCCTGTCTGTATGGCACCCAGGACGTTTCGGGCCCCTGTGAACTGCAGGCCTCCAGTGCAGCAGCCTGCCCCCTTGGGGTGGGAATCCTGCCCACCCAAGGAAGGGTGGTGGCAGAGAGGTTCCCGGCAGCGTTGTAGCACAGACTGGTGGGCACCCTGGCTGACCCATGCTCACTGTCTTTGTGGGCATAGCTACAAACCTCACAGACTTTGGAGACAACCACTAGGCAGCAGCTGGGAGACCTTTGAGGGGAAGCCCACAGCCTGCTGTTTTTCATTCACCAAATATTCAGGGCGTGTTGAGGGAAGTGTCACTGGCTATTTCATCCAGTGTTATCAGGGAGGTCCCCTCTGAGGAGGTGACATTGTCTTTCAACTGACTCTAAAGAGAAGCCTGACATAGGAGAGGGGGCATTTCAGGAGGAGGAGCCAAGTTCAAAGGCCTGGAGGCTGGAGCATGGCAGGCCGCTCTGTGTGCCAGGAACTGCACCACGTTCAGTGGGGCCAGAACCATGGGTCCGGGGAGAGTGGTGGTGCAAGAGAGCTAGCGGGGGGGGGGGGTGGGGGGGGGCAGGACCTTGGAGGTCCTAGAGCAGCGGTTCTCAACCTGTGGGTCGCGACCCCTTTGGCGGTCTAACGACCCTTTCACAGGGGTCGCCTAAGACCATCCTGCATATCAGATATTTACATTATGATTTATAACAGTGGCAACATTACAGTTATGAAGTAGCAACGAAAATAATTTTATGGTTGGGTCACAACATGAGGAACTGTATTTAAAGGGCCAGAAGGTTGAGAACCACTGTCCTAGAGGGCCCTGGGTTTTCTCAGTTGAAACAGTCATTGAGGTTTGGAGCCGAGGAGTGCTATGGGCTGAGGGATGCAGATAAGGTTCCTAAACCAGCAGCCATTGTAGGCACTATTCATATCCTGGTCCTGAAGCAGGGAAGCTTTTCTGGGCGAATTCAAGAAGCCAGTGTGGAACAGAGCGGGGATTTGAACCTGAGCAGGAGCCATGCTCTTTGTCACCGATGGCCACTGCCTTGCCGTTGCTGAAGTAGCTCATGGTGCTGTGAGAACCTTTTCCTTCTAGTAGATGTGACAGCATTCCCCCCACACCCCCACCCCGGCCAAGGGCCAAGTCCTTGCTGACCTCCCAGGGATTTATTTCTCTCTGCAATCATCCTTCCCACTCCCGGAACGCCCACCTGTCTGCGTTCTCTAGGGGATGCAAATGCCTTTGAGTGCAGGATCTTCTCTCAATGTATCGGGAGGCCCTCCAGGGTTCCAGAGATCTCGTCCCACTAAAGCCTGCACATTTATTTAATTAAAAACCAGCCCCAAATGCTGGGGCTTGGGAGACTGCCTGCCTGGCAATACACATCTGTAAATCCTATTCCTGCTGCTTCCAGCCTGACTGTCAATACCCCGAGCTGCAGCTTCACTGGCAGTGTTTTGGCCATTTTGCTTCTGGCTCAATGGGTAGTAAGAAATAAAAATGAAAAGTGGTGGAAGAAAAACTGGATTAAATTTATTTAAAGCTTAACACAGCTCAGCTCAGGGAGAGTGGTTAAGGACTTCTGGTTTTTCCCTGTTATGTCTGACTTGGTCCTTTCATTCCTAAACCCAGGCCCACAGGATCTGGAGAGCAATTTCTTGCCTTTGATGACTCACCTCTGGCTCTGAAGGTGGTGGGGAAAGGTGAGTCACCATCATTTCAGAAGCAACAGTTGATGGAAAGAACCTCGGTTTTGCTATCACTGAGGCAGTGATTCATTCCCAGCCCAAAGCAAACACCGAGCCCTGACAAGGGCTACTCATGAAGTTCTCATGGGACAAGGAGCAGGACATCTGAGAGGGAGTGTATTCTCGGGAGCCAGGATGTATGGCTGCCATGTGTCATATGAATCTGAAGTCAGGGCCTCGGGCAGCCTGAATTCTCCAAAAGGACTGGCACATTTCTTAAGGGTTACTTTGCCTTCCTGGTCACAGCAGCTGTAAGATGCAATAGGAATGACTGCAGTATGCCAAATAGCCCCAAATGCCACAGCCTCGGCCTCCTGAGCTCCCCAGAAAATGCCCGGGAGATCCATTCGTGAAGTCAACTCTGAGACAGGTGAAGTCCCAGAGCTGGTGGTGATGCTGCCTGGATCCCAGGTGGGACCAATGCAACCAGCTGGTCTTCTGAGCGGCCCCAGGAAGGCCCATTGCAGGAGGGTAAGTGAGGTGGAGCTGGGAGCTCCTTACTCTGGGGCAGCAGACACCTGTCCATCCTGAGGACATTCTCATCCTCTAGTCACAACACCAGCTTCCCTAACCCCACATGCTATGACCAGTCAGAGATTCCTGGCTACTCAAGGATGTTAAGAGTCCATTGCTTTTAGGCCAGCTTTTTAAAAAAATATATGTATATTTTTATTGATTTCAGAGAGGAAGGGTGAGGGGAAGAGAGAGATAGAAGCATCAATGTGAGAAAGAATCGCTGAATGGCTGCCTCCTGCACACCCCTAATGGGGATCAAGTCCGCAACTCAGGGAGGTGCCCTGATCAGGAATCGAACTGTGGCATCCTGGTTCATAGAGTCGATGCTCAATCACTGAGCCACATCGGCCAGGCTAGGCCAGGTTTAAGTTTCCATCCTGCCCACTGAAGAGCTTTGATTCTAATTGGTTGGCAGGGGCGTCTGCAGTGCTCACTGCAATGGCTGTGGCTGTGCACTGGGATGATCTCTGTCCTTTTGTTCACACAGCACACAACACACATGGGTGCACATACCCCCAGTCTGTATCCACATGTACACACATAGGGCTTTCCAAGCAACAGGACGAAACCAAATGTGTAGATTTTTTCTCGAGTGGGGGTGGCTAGACAGCCGTAAAAGGTAAGATTGTTTCATTAACTTCTTGTTTTACCCTGCATGCAGCTCTGTTTAAGTGGAATTGTTTTATTTTTCCTGGGAGCATTCATGGGAAAAGACCTGGTTCTCTCCTGTGCTTACACCTGTGCCTTCTTCACAACACACTCCAGAGTCTCACCGCAAAAGACAAGCTCCCAAGTGAGGAAGAACAGTTATCTCTTTGGAGTGTGATCCCTTCATGCAACAGATTTTGCACTAAGTACCTACTATGTGGAAAATCCCAATGAAGCTTCTGAGGATGTAAGAATGCATAAAATATGGTCTCTGCCCCTGGTAAACAAAGATAAATTTCTTTGTTAGTGATATGGAAGATAATGATAGATATTTATATTTCACTTCTCAATAGATAACTTCACAGACCCAATCTGAATGGGACCCCTTTGCCATAGACCTTTTTATAATCCGGAGCCTTCTTTCTGTTGGGGTTACGGTGCCATTGCAGAGCAGGAAACTCTTTCCCATATTTTGTAAACTTATGCCGAATGTGGCCCTGGGGCAGAAGTGATTACAATTAGCTCCTATTAATTAATTAAGCCTATTGAAGTGCAGAAGCAGTGCAGCCGGCTGGCTTGGAACACCACCCAGAGGCCCACGAGGCCTGGGTGCCACAGCAGGGCCATTGTTCTGCCCAGTGTTGCCTTTGGCTCCCCCTTGGCATCGGTACTTAATTGCCTCCCAACTGAGTAGGTCTGAACCTGTTTACTGAGCCTCCTTGGCAGGGATGTAACCAAATGTCTCCAGGCCTCCCCAGCCTGTGGGGGCCAATTAGATCACGTTTTCACTCAAATTGTTTGCTAGCTGATTGCTCCACCTGCATAACTCTGGCCCTCCGTGCCTCCCCTTTCTCAAAGCCTCTCTCCTTATTTGGGGTGAGTCAACAGGATATCTCAAGTATGTTCAGAAACCGTTTGCAGCTCTCAGAGAGTGCTGACTTGTTGGTCATTTGAAGCTGCCAGTCTGCTGAGGCCCTGTGTGAGCACACCTCTGCGTCATTTGGGACCTTCCTTCTAGTGCTGCAAAGTTGTCCCTCGGCCCCTGCCCCACCTGCAAAGTGACACAGAGCTCGTTATTTCCTGCCATTCCTCCTCTACACCACATTCCTTGTACATGAAGGACAACACCCTCACCCCACCTTGTGCCGTTTTTCATATTCTGAGTTCCAAAGCTGTGTTTGAGGACCCAACATTCTCTTGTGCAAACAGCTCCTCAGCTTCTGGCTCTGGTTTCACTCCCCTAGAGGATCAAGCCTTGCTAGGCCTATGTTCATGGTCTTGAACAACATCCTTCCTTCCCCTTTTCCCTATGTCCCCACCCTCATTCATGAAACTCTTCCTAGCTCCTTCAGCTGAAAGACACGATTATGCAGGTCCACCATGTTAATAAACACTCCGAATCTGTGGGTGGGTCTCAGGTGTCCGACCTCTGCTTGGGCTTCTCTGGCCTTGCTACAAGAAAAGCATAGAACCTCTAACATGCATATTCCTTTCTTTTTTTTTATCCTGATCTAAGGATATGTTTGTTTGTTTGTTTGTTTTCATTGATTCTAGAGAGAGAGGAAGAGAGAGGGAGAGAAACATCAGTGTGAGGGAGAAACCTCAATCACTTGCCTCCTGTATGCTCCATGACTGGTGGGATCAAATCTGCCACCTGGGTATGTGTCCTGACTGGAATCGAACCTGTGGTCATACTAGCAAGGGCCCATGCATATTCTTTTTTTATGGTATCCAACAGAAAGCAGCTTATAGCTTGTTGGCAGCCAGGTCATTCAATTCCTTCTCCTTGATTTCCCCACAGTTTCCCACAAAGATCATATGAGATAATGTGGAGCAAGTATACTTAAATTGAAACTGGTCATGTCAGTGTAATAAAAGGTTAAACCATTACTGAATGGCTATTGGCCATGACATTTATTAGCATTTATCTAGGCATCCACTCAAGCATATTTATTAAGCACCTACTCTTTGCTGGGCTCTGTTCTAGACACTAGAGAGAGGGTAAAAATAACAAGAAAACCTCAGATGGTGACAAGGGCTCTGCAGAGAGCTGAGTTAGGGTGATGAGATAGAGGGTAGCTAGGAGTCAGTCTCCTTTGGACTCGGACACCAAGGAAGGGCTCCCTGAGGAGGTGATCGCAGATTTAGAATGAAGAAGGGATCAGCCCATGAAGATCAGAGGAAAGAGGATTCCTGGCAGAGGGACAACAAGGGCAAGGGGTTGGGGCGCAGTCCATGAGCTGGGATGATGGAAAGAACGTAGGTCTCCTAGGTAAGGGGAGGTGGTGCCAGAGAGCTCAGTCCGTGGGCAAGAGAAGGCCTAGATGATGGAGGGCTGTGCAGGGCAGGAGAGGCATTAGTGCTTTGCTTTCAGCATAATGGGAAGCAATTAGAGTTTGAAGCAGGGGAGCCACATAATCTGATTTATGTTCTAAAAAGATAGCTTAGGCTGCTGTGGGAGGAACGGACTCTAGTGGAGCAAGAGAGGCAGCAGGAAGACCAGGCAAAAGCCTGATGTGGTAGGACGGGCGAGAGAGGATGGTGATCAGGTGACTGTGTCACACCTGGAGAGCAGAGATGCAGAGACAGACTGGGGGTCTTCGGAAGCAGAGCTGAGGGGACTTGCTGATTGCTTGCATGTGGAGAATGAGGAAGTGATAGGTGCCAAAAGGATTTACAGACTGGCAGCGGAAGAAACCAGAAGCCCCCACCAGCTCAGGATGTGGGTGGCTCAACTAGGGTGGTTGTCAAAATGTCTGGAGGGTGGTTTATTCTATATTGCAGGTACTGAAGAAACATGGAGAAAACCTGCTAGACTAGAGGAATCGACTGGTTTCAGATAAAACACACATACACACACACACACACCAGCTTTGAAAGCAAACCATAGCCAATAGCTTAGAAAGTCAAATAACTTTAAAATAAGCTAGGGCAGGTAGAGTGCATAAAAGTAGCCAGCATGTTTACCCAATAAAATACCCGCTGCAGTGGGAGGCAGAGTTCAGGAGCTGGGCTGGTCTTGGCGATTTCTGATAACAGTCTTCACGTTGGAATTCAATTTGTTTTACTTAAAGGTAAACCTGAGTGCCTGTTCTCATGGAGACTGCCTTCCCAGTCTATTCTCCAAGGACCTGAAAACCCAGACCCCAGAGGAACATTCTGCATTGCCAAATCCATTATGCCCCGGTGTTTGCTGACTGCACAAACACACCTTGGTGGAAATATGCAAAACCTCACAACATAAGGACCATATGGGAGCTCAGGGAATTTACAGCTCCCTGGATTTTATCACTGTACTTATTCTTTAATTAAAGACAATAACTACTCCTTACAGGTTCTTATTGACAAATAAAAACACGGATGTCGCTCAAGTCTATGACGTGATCATCTTTTCCAGACTGGGAGTATCCAGCACTAGGTGGTTAAGGGGACGTTTTCCCGAAGGCCTGAGCCATTCTTCTAATTCTGTCTTAGTCACACACAGTTACTCATTACCTGAAGGGCATGAAGAGTTTCTCCCTGGCTATCGTACATTTTGTGCTGCTTTGTTAAGCCAGGAAAAATACAGACGGTTGAGTCATCGTTTTCAATTAGTTTTTCAATTTCACCTGGAGCAAAGTTTTATTATATCCATACCAATTTTATTGCTTCCCATGTTACTCTGATTATATACTTTGCAAGATAATTCAGCCTTTTGCTTGAGGATATCAATAATACATATTGTAAGTGGGGAGTAGCATTATCAAAGTACTCTTAAACAGATGTGAACATGGAAATACAGCAGGAGTTAGTAACTCACATTTGAGGTCTATAGAGATGTGACAGAGGAAAGGAGAGTGAGACAACTAAGAACCTTGAAATAATGGCAGAGCTTTGTTGCCTCTGAAGAACTGCTCTATACAATTTTCAAATCTAAGGTTTATTTAGTTCAACAGATATTACATACCAGCCCCATTAGACAGAATAAGTACATTCAAGCAGTTAGTAAAAGAAATATCTTAAGTACCGCTGAAGTGTAGAACACTGTAGATACCAGGGCCCTGTCTCCGAGGAACCTTTATCTCATTGGGTAAAAACAAACACACGAACTAGTTTCAGGACAAAACAAGGTGGAGTGTGAGGTGGGATAAAATGAGAAGCACAGACAATATGTGCTTGGAAGTCAAAGATGTAGAAATAGTGCAGCTGAAGTCATCAGATTCCTGACCTCAGCTGATGATCCTTGTAGGGCAAGCATGCTTTGGATGGGAAAGACGGAGTGACAAGGCACTCCAGGCAGTAGGAGCAGCACATGCAAAGGGACTACCTTGGGAAAGATTAGGGTGTGCATGCCCAGAGAGGGGCTCACCTGGTGAGAAGATTTGGTGGGGACACATTGATAAAAATGGAGCCTGACACAAATCATGTCACTTGCTATGATAGAAACGATATCCTTTCGGAGGCAGTAATGCCTCAGCTCACACTGAGTCCATGTGCAAGTGTGAAGGAACTTGGTAACAAATCATCTTTCTTATCTATACTGTATTGGCAAAAGTCAGGCTGGAGCTAGACAAGTTGATAATAAATCATCTCATTAAAGGAACTTGCTTCCCAGGAAGAAGAATTGGGATGGACTAATACATATTGAAGTCATCTGAGCAAAGGAGGGGCAGAAACCACCAGATGGTAACAGATTTCCCTACCAGTCCTATACATTCATTTCCTGCATTGATGAGACTTGACCTCAAAGGGATTAGCTCTTCATTTTTGGAATTAAAAAAATAATCTCAATAATCAGGAAATTCCTTCGGTTCAGAGGGTTCAATTGGCTTAAAACCAGAAAAACATCTCTAGAGATTGTCCACTTCTAAAATTACCAGGGTCATTAATTTGCCATGTGTGGGATCCTGGACATAATTATAAAGCTCCAATTTCTTCATCTTTAAAACACTCAAGTGTCTCAGAAAGTGAAAGATAAGATTCATTCTCTCATTCACTTGCTCTCACTCTCCAACTAGAATAATGCAATGAATATAATCCAACATAGTTTCAAAGCTGTGGTTGGCTCTGCCACTTGCTACCTGTGTGACTTTGCACAGATATTTAACTTCTATAAGCTTTGGTCCCTTCCTTTTAAAATCTTCATAATAATACCATTAGATAGATGTATTATAAAGATTAAGACAACATGTGCAAAAGACCTAGCACAGAGGCTAATATTCAATAAAATACAGCTATTTTTCTTAAAGTCATAGTTAATTTTGTGAAGCATTTTTATGAATTTTACACTAACCTTTTATGGTAAATACAATCATTACCAGTTTTAGCGATGAGAAAACTTTAGAGATAAAGCTAAAATATACTAAATCTAGGGACATGCAATAGTAGAAGACATAATTGAGGTGCCCGTTGAAGGACCACTTCAAGGGTATTTAACCTCTGCTCTAGCTGTCTTTGTTAGTGAGACACACAAACTAAAAGAAAACAAATTATAATTGTATTTCCTATAGTACCTAGTGAGGCCTCAATAAATGTGGTTCCTTTCTGAATCTCGTTAGGTATCTGGCCAGAGCTCTAGGTAACACTGGAAAGGCGATTCTCTACCTCTGTGCTGTCCCCTCTGGCAGCCACTACATGTGGCTATTGAGCACTTGAAATGTAAGTCTGAACAGAGAAGTGCTGCAAGTATAAAATACATGCTGGATTTCAGCAACTTAGTGGAAAAATATGTAAAATAGCTCATTGATAATTTTAATTAATTACATGATGAAATGAAAATACTGTGGGTTGACCTAGCTGGTTTGGCTCAGTGGATAGAGCGTCAGCCTGCGGACTGAAGGGTCCCGTGTTCAATTCCAGTCAAGGACACATGCCCAGGTTGTAGGCCCGATCTCCAGTGTGTGTGTGTGTGGGGGGGGATGGTGGAGTGGGGGGGGGGGCACGTGCAGAAGGCAGTGAATCAATGATTCTCTCTCATCATTGATGTTTCTATCTCTCCCTCTGCCTTCCTCTCTGAAATAAATAAAAAAATATTTTTTAAAAAAGAAAATATTTTGGGTATGTTCAATTAAATATTTCATCTAGTTCTCATTACTTCTTTTTAATGTGGTTACTAAAAAAAATTCAGTTGAATATATGGCTCACATTTGTGGCTACAATATATTTCTATGGTACAGAGAAGCTCTACCAGATCCTTTGCCCTTCCTCTCCCCTCTCCTACCTCCTCACCAGGACTCTCAGATCCTCTGTCTGATAAGCCGGGACCTGCTCAGTTATGTCATGCCAGGGTGTTAATGATCTCTCTCTCCAAAACGTCTACTTTTAGAAAAGGTACTGGGAGTGGAGGTTCATGCTCTGGGTTAGAGAGAGATACTAGGGCAAGGATCACAATTTTAAAACTTAACAGGTTGTCAGGAGGGTACCATAAAGTAGACCAGGTGTTGGTGGCAACAGAGAGTGGCGAGAACTGTGCCAAATCGAAGAGCATATTCCTGATCCAAAGGAATCAGCCACCATCCAGCTCTAGCTAATTGTTGCCATATTGGATTTGGGCCCAATGTGGCCAGGTCTTTTGATTTTTCAAGAGCAGCCATAAATCTAGGTTCTTATGTGATGTCTCCCAATTTTTGAAGATTTGCAATGAAATAAAAACTTTTAACAAGCATTATAAAGGGCCTGTAATGCCTGTTTTAGGGCTCTGGCCAGTGTGGCTCAGGTTGCAGGCTCCAACCCTGGTAGGGGGCATGCCGAACATAGCCAAAGGATGTTATGCCTCAATGTTTCTGTCTCTTTCTCCCTCTCTTTTCCTCTCTCTCTAAGAATTAATAAATTATTCTTTATAAAATAAATCTCCCTTAGGGCTCTATTTGGTCCATTTGGCCTCAGTTTTTTACCTCTTTATTTACCTATATATGAGGCCCACCTGATGTGGTAAACTGGACAGAGAGCGCTTATAACATAATAGGCTTTGTCTCTTGACATTTGTAGAGTTGGAAGAGTCTCTCCCTTTATAGATGAGATACTGAGGTCCAGAGAGTCTAAGTGGTTCACCTACAGTCACATGTTCAGGGCAAGAGTATGAGGTTCCTGATTCTCTATTCATTGAACCCTCAAAACAGCAGACAGTATCTTCTGTCTGCCCCAAGTTTGCCTTTGAGAAAGGATCTTGAACTGAAACACTCTGCCAGGCATGTAAGTGAATCATAGAGCAAAAGATGCTGTGCCCATACTAGCCCTTGACTGGCAAGGGGAATGGGACAAATGGTAGGTATCCTTTGTGAATCTCTCTCACACACCATAGCATTTATTCTACCCCCAGAGTGAACTGAAATCCCCAAACAACCCAGGTGGAGGAAAACAATCACAATGCTGAATACTCCTGTGATTTATGAGCAAGTATACATTCTAGACGCCTGAGTCAGGCCCCAGGGGGAGGAAGGTTCCTCATTCTGCAGTTGACATGGAAAGATTCCCATCTGGGACATTCCCTATAGTAAATGTGTGAGCCCTCTTTCCAGTTCTAAAGGGCGAGTGGCCCAACATAGGAGAAACAAATGCAGGAATACAATCTAGCACTCACTCAACACAGCATTTGTTCTTTCTGGCTTTCATTGTGCAAATACATTTTATAGTACTTAAGACTAAACTTCCTGCTTATTGGTAATAGTTCCAAAACAAATATGAGATTATGAGTAATTTCAACCCTTCTTTCTTAAAACCTGGGACTTTCCTGGGTGAGACAAGAGGACCGACCTTTTCCAAATTATCCAGGTTATAATAAGAACGCAGAGATGACTGGAGTTAACTTTTCAATAAGTTATAATACATAGCTTCCAGGGCTTTTAGGTCTTGAAAGCAATTTCATTTCTACTGTGCTATTTATTTCTGTCTACAGTCTAATGAGACGGGAAGAACAGATTTGGTGTCCATATGTTAAAGCAGAGGAAATGGAGTCCTGGGGGACTCTCTGACTCACCTAGATACTGACACGGCCAGGTGTCTACTGGTCCCAGTTAGGTTTCTTTCTATTAGATCTAAGCAATGAGGACTGGAGCCATGTGCAGCTTTCCTTCCTGGCACTGTGGGAGTGAGTTGCAGATGGAGGGTAAGCATCTTAGAATTGCTTCAAGAAAGTGCAGAGGACACCTGGAATTCAGTGTTTTACCAAATTCACTCAACACCACACCCTGGTGCCCAGCACAATATGGGCTACTGGTAGTTTCTATAGAAACATTTGTCAAACGAAGTCTCACATTCTCATGTGGACTAACATACCCCTTTTTTAGCCTCTATTTTTGTGTTTTTAACAAGGAATAAAGTACTTATTTTCACACCATCACATGGGCCACTATACATGTGCTTTGCTGCTTTAAAAAATAAATGTAACAAATCC